ACAGGAGCATTTCTGGTGATTACTATTCTGGTCTTTGTGGATACCAAGGTCATATTATCTCAGAAAAAACAATAGCTTAGATCTGCTTTTGCAAGAATTGCTATCTCAGTGGATTGTTTGTCAAAAGGAAATACTCCAGGGGCTGGGGATCTAGCTCAGTGGTTTCACCACCTGCTTTGCAAGTGGAAGGACCCGAGTTCGATCCCCAGTACCAAAAAAAAAAAAAAAAAAAAAAAGGAAATACTCCAAGATTATTGCTTATCCTCTGCTATTTAATTAATTGCCCTGGGGAACAAATTCAAGCAACTATGGTCAGATACTCTCTGTCCCTGATGGCTAACAGGGATGCCTAATAAGTTAATTTTTAGTTATCTATTTGTCTCAAAGTATGGACATTAGGAAGAAAGATTTCACTAAGTTGCATAGGTAAGTGGGCATACTTTGAACTTCTCAGATGAAAAACTCCTTAGATGCAGTTCAAAATGGGGAGACAGGGAGAGAGGATCTATAAGATGTGTGTCACCCACCAAAGGAAGAAACAGACTTTGTTTACCTTAAGTTTGGAGTGCCTTTTGTATCATTCAAATTCAAATTTCTACATCACACAATTGTGGCTAATGACAGAGATAAGGGAATATCCTGACAGTTCTTCTCTTATCTGCATTTCACACATACCTACACTTCCTCACACCCAAATCCTGTATAACACATATACATACATAGGTATACACAGGCACTCAGACTCACACGTGTGTGAGCACACACACACACCTTAACCCACATTTGAAAATATGTTCTAGGCTCTGATGAGTTACATTTTGTTACCTTATGTTTTCCATACACTCATGTATGTGCCAGTGAGTCCCTGTAAATTCTATTACTTCTCAGTGAGATATAAATACTTCACTCCATTTCAAAGTTTGAGAAACTAAAGCCTAGGATGCTAAAATTGTCTATCTGAAGCAACACAAAAAACAAATGTAAGAAAAGGGATTCAGACTCATGTCTATTTGATTCTAAAGCCCATGGCCTCAGGAGGAAGGAGTAGGAGGAATTTCAACTATTTGTACCTACTATGTACAGTTTGGGGTTAAGGAATTTACATTTGTTATATTTTTCTTTTTCATTATGTTGATGTTACCTAATGGTAGAATTTCTTTTGGGAAGTTGCTACCTGCATTTAACATGTTATTCAATTTCAACCCTATTACCCACCCACCCCCATAGTTAATTAAATTTGTTTTTAATGCTCACAGTGAACCTATGAGGTAAGTATCACCAATGCTACTTTAAAAATTTGGAAACTGAGGCTTAGAGAGCTGTCTGCTCTGCAATGTGCTGTTTTCCAGGGCCCTGCTCCAGGTTTTCTGCCTTCTGAAACAGCAGTGGAATCTTTCACACTGGAAGAATCCAATAAACATCCCACATTTAGGGTCCTCATTTCTAAGAGCAAGGGACTGCATTTGATGAGCTGTGAAGTGCTTTTATCTCTAGCTGTCTCCAATTTTTTTTTTAGTAATAGAGTTTTGAAATGCCAGTATTACTATTCTTTTCCAGTACTGGGTGTGTTTCGAAGACACATTAATGATCTCAATGTTATAAAATGCTTTAGGTCCTTTTTTCACATGAAAGGCAATTTCTCTGGGTGTTTATGTAAGTTTATAATTAGGTTAGTTATCTTCTTTTATCTACACGTAACCATGCCGTCATCTTCCACCTCTTCTGTGACTTTTGGAGTGAAGACTTCATCTTCTCTTAATTGACCTTCAGCTTAATTAGATTTCTGAAAGTCCAATCATGGAGTAAATAGAAAATATTTATGCTTCCATTGTATGAAACATCAAAGTGGTTTGGCATGCAGATGGTTCCCAAGATCAAAGCTAGGCACCTGGGCCCTATTATTATTGGAGCAATTAGTCTGACATTGCTCCTTCTTCACTGTCCCCAAAGTGTAATTTAGGACAGAAGAAAATTTTTTAGACTCATGAAAATGTGAGCTTTTGCAGAAAAATGGGCAGAACCTAAAAGATACCGCATAATAAATTATGTGAAAAATTGAGTGTAAGCCAACATCCATTGTGCCCTACCCAATAGGACCTAGCACATGCCTGACCTTAATTTTACTGAAAGTATAGGTGAAAAACCCAAACATTTCTCTAAACTTTATAAATGACTCTGCCTACAAATCAGGAAGAATATTCTAATATCAGTTGCCTTTGGAATCAAAAACTTCATAAAACCAATCATGTTTATATTGAAATTAGTCATCATGCCAGTTGTCCTATTCAAAATACATAAACATAGTTTTCTTAAGTAGATGAATTTTCCAGGTTCAAATAATGGGAACAGATTGGCTTGACAAAAGCTTTACATGTAGAAAAATATTCAGGATCATTTTTCTCTCTTCATTTTAGTCTCCTTACTACAAAAATGGTCCATTATTTAAATTGATTTCTCTTCTTTTTCAGAACATGGGCTTTGAAATTAGGTAAGGGGATCAGGGTGGCTAAGAATTTCTGGCTGGAGAGATTATTGTAATGAACAGACTCCGAGGACCACTGAAAAAAGAAGTCCTAGCACTGATCACTTTTTTCCACCACCTCTTCACTGATTAATTCACTCAGTTGCCAACAGATGTTTGTTGGGGGCACTGAGAGGCTAGTGCACTAAACTAGAGAGAAATAACGGTTGTTCCTGCTGAGCTCACAAGCTGGATTTGATGGACTCTCTGTTTTACTTCTCTTGGACAGTCCTTCTCTGCTCTAGGCCTATAGCATTGCACATAGCCATTTTACAGGCAAAATATATTTTCTAAATGGTGGGAGGTCCTGGAATTTACAAAGAGCTGAAGAACTGGCCAGAAAGCTCTTCCATTAAATAAGCCTAGTAAAATTTATGAGATTAAACTTCTGGTTTCTTATATCTTATCCATAGTATTGCTGCTAATTTCTTCTAGATACCAGGCCTAGGGACAGTCTGTCCTTTCATTGCAGGTTCTAGGTGTAATATCTTAATTTCAGTTCCCACAGTGCACAAAAGTGTCTACTTAGGAGTTTTGTCTCACTCCAGTACTCAGTATCCCTAGGATAATATCTACTATATAGTAAGTGCTCAATAAATACAGGCTATTAATTTTTATTGCATTCTTTCCATACTAGAATTTTCTCCTATTCCTGAAGAAATTCTCAAAATCTTCTCCCAACTCTCAAACATACCACCTCTCCCATTGACAAGCAAATCTTCCCACCTCTGCTTTTCCACAGCTATTTCTCTAAAGAGGTTCACATAGTCACTCTTTACAACTTCTTTTTCCTCTCCTTATCTCCCTTTTCACTCAGCTTAGCTTCATCCTGGTGTCCAGAATTAACCAGATTAGGGCCTGGGGGAGAACATGAGACTCAGCCATTGCTATGGCCCACACTTTCATTTGGTAGAAATTTACGTAGAGGGAGCAGAGGTAATCTCAGAATACACAGCTGGGCCTGGAGACACCTCTTGTGTTTAGGTAATATATCTGTATTTAACTGGACTCTTCAGTGCTTTGATTCAATAGTCAAGTAATGAGGAAACCTTTTGAAAACAACTGCTGAGTGTGGAATAAGGCACTGCGGACTATTGCCACAATTTCTAGCTTATCATAGTTACACCTATCCAGTCTCCATTCTGACTACTATACTCTTTTATTTGGAAAGGCATAAATAAAAACACATGCTAGAATTTTTAAACTACAGAAGTATCTTGGTCCACAAACTGAATTTGTTCCACAATTCTGGAAAAGATGGCCACATTTTTGTTTGTGTGGCAAAGGTGGCCACAGTTGTGTTTGTCACCCAAAGCAGAGTTCTCAAACAAAAACAAAGTTTTGCCAAACACTTTGTTTGCAAACCAAATTGTTTGCAAATAAAAGCATTTGTGAACCCAGGTACCACTATATTGTGATACCTTTGGAGGCAATATTCAGTAAAAATATACAGTATCAAAATTTTCCACCATAATTTCACCATATGGACTAGAACCATGATCTTTTCTGAGTACCTAAAGAATACCTTGCCTCTTCTAGAGATTTTATATAAATTCACTATAATCATTACACTGACTGTGGCCAATCATACAGGGAGGTGTAATGGGAATGATATGCCTGAGAGATAAGGAATATTTACTTTATTATAGACATTACTTAACAATTTAATATAGTACTTCTGGTACATACTTAAATCAGTCTTATTATTGTTTCTAAATTCTCTGCACAAAATGCCTTTCTTATTGCCTGCACCCTCTGCCTTGCTGCCCTGTTACACTACTGCACACTAACCTTGCAGGATAATTGATATCATGTCTATGTAGAAGAACAAAAGCAATCCTCAGAAAACATAAGCATTATCCACCACAAAATTAAGGAACTTGTGAGTGGTAGACTTTCAACTCTAACCCAGGTCTAATCTCTCTCCCTCCATGACATGTGAGGAATAATAATAAAAAAGAATGAATGTGATCATTTTAGATGTTGAAAGTGCTCTCATATGTATAATTTCATTTTACATTTACACCAGGCCTGTGAAATAGGTAGGCAGGTGTCAGCATCTACATTCATAAGTGAGAGTCTGCAGAACATCATGGCTCTGGTAACAACATAAGTGGCACAAGTAGAAATTGAGCCCCTCTGACTTCTAATGTGAAATTATAGCCACCATATCATTGCATGTTGTGCCATTTTTTTTGGTACCTTATAAATAGCAAAAATATATAACATTTACTTTTCAAGCTACCAATATGCTCTCCTTGATGGTATTTTTCCTTAGTAGCAGTCCATTGTTATCTAAAATAAGTCATTCAAATGCATTTATCAGAGCAGAAGGGTTCAGAGAGTGAGGTTCAGAACATGATAGCCCCAGGTCCAAATTCTTACTCTACCAAATTACTGGCCATGTGAATGTGGACAAGTTACCCTCCGTAGGCTGTCTTCTCATTCACCAAATGGGACTGCCAGTAACTCCTAGGGATGTTACTTGGATGAACCAGATATTTATTGTCTAGTAGAGTGTTAATCCATACCTATGTTACCTATAAGTTGTATCCTCCATTCAAAATTTATTCTTTTGTACAATTATTCTCAGTATTAGGAAGATTAAATGAGTGACATTTTCTTTCCTAGGTCACTGTCATTGTTATTGCATTGATTCTAATTAAAAAGAGTCTTATTATTAGTGATATAAGAATAAAAAAAGTCTTATTAATATTTTCAGAACCTGGAAACTTGAGGTAATAAAAACTGGAAGAGTCCTTTGACAGTTGTGAGCTATTCCAAAATCACATAAAGAATAAAATGGATCTCTCTGTGCAGCACTTTTATGAAGCCATACTTTTATTATAACAATATTCTGAGCAAGGACATCTATTATTTTAATTACACTAAGCATGCTGCATATGATATGTAATAATCTTTCTTAGCCTTGCCTATGTAGAATGCATTAAAAATGAATTTTGAAATGTTCAGTCCAATAAACCATAGAAGAACAGGCCTCCACTATGGTATCATTTTAGAGATAGTAGGAACAGTAGGTTCCTCATGTACTTATCAGTATCTATGACTTTACTTTTCAATAAGAAATCGGCTAGGTTTTAAAAGAGAGAAGCAAGTGGTTAGCTTTTGTAATCGACCAGTGTCTTCCTTCCCAAGATTGATGCACTTAACCAGACAGACGTGGTGAAACATGCCTGTAATCTCAGTAATGTGGGAAGCTAAGGCAGAAAGATCACAAGTTCAACCCAGTGAGACCCTCTCTCTAAATTTTAAAAAAGAAGGGCTTGGAGTGTCTCTCAGTAGTAGAGCACCCCTGGGTTCAATCTTCTAGTACTGCAACACTAACAAAATACTCAACCCTAGTTTGTCAGTAGCTTCCCCAGGCTGGAACACTGATGGGCTAATAAATAGCTTGCCACTTACTTATTTAGGTCCCAAACAAACTGAGAAATAAGTAAAAGAATGTTGTGGGAGACACAACACCCCTTGCCATGAGATCAAGGAGGCTAGAGATAGTAGTTTAGTCTACTACTACTTTAGTCTGACTCACCTCCGAGTCATGGCTGTCCTGGGCTGGGGAACCTGTGCACATGAGAGTGGAAAGGAAAGAGGCCAGAGAGACTTCCCCCTTGGAGAAACAGAGAAGAACCTTTGCAGCCTCCCAAAGCTTGGTTCAAGGACAATACATGCCAAACAAGCCCAGTTTATTCCCAAATTTTTCAATCCAAAATATCATTTTGCTTCCCTCACTTCCAAGAAGAGCAGTAGATGACAAAGCAGTAGGGTCCCAGAGCAGTAAGTGCACCAAATAAGGATAGAAGTACACACCCAGAGAGAACAACTCTCCATAGAACTGTACATCCTGGAACTGCATTTCTGGTCCCATCATAGAGGGACTTACAGGTATCTACCAAGTTAAGAAGTGTGCCAGAGGTGGTGGTATTGGGAGCATGGAATTTTGCCAGGTTGTGGGCCAGTTCGGTAAAGCAAGTCATCATTCAAGATTGGTGAGTTATAAGCACATGGTTATAGAAATTCACAAACACTGTTGAAGCCCTTTTAAAATATAAAATTGAACAAACCTATAGAATTACAAGCAAAATTGTCTTTTCAGGCAACACAAATGGACCATTGTGCCACAAGTGTGATGTCATATACTTCTTAGGAACCTAACTCAATGGGAAGTGAGGATGAGCAACAAATATTTATTGAGTGTTTTTACTGCTGGTCATCTGCATCTTTGCCTTATCTCAGTGAGTGGTATTGCCTAATGCCTAATTCAAAAACCAGGGTGTTAGCTTTCTGATTCTCTTTCTTTGCCTCCCTCTTCACATCTAATACATTGCTGGTTTGGTCACTTCTGCGGCTTTGTATAACTTGAATCTGTCCCCTCCTTCCAGTCCCTTTATCACAAATCTAGTGCAGGACATCTCTGAATTCCTTCATCAGCTTCCAAATGTGCCTCCCTGCTGCCAGCTCCAACATGTTATTGCTGAGAAAATTGAAGCTATGTGACTCTGGGCAAAGTATTAAACTCACTAATGAGGAAGAGCAAGGAGGGACAGAGCCTAGAGTTGAGCTGAAGTTTAGCAAATTTAAATGTCGGTCATAAACTTTCTTCTATGCTATATCCCTACACCACTATCTCTCTCATCAATGTAACTATTTCCAGTTCTTGCATTATCCTTTGTGCTGATTTAGTCTAATGACCTATATAACCCATCATAGAATGACTTTTAAGTGGAACCTTAGTGATCATTTTAAGCCAACTCCTTTTAAAAATAAAATGTTCACAGTGATATAGATACCTGCCCAATTCTGTCTACAAGTAGGGTAAAAAATCAGAGGTCAGATTTCCCATTCCTGACTGCTAGTCCTGACTCTTAATCCATGAACTAGATAAATGAATTATAATTTCAAAAATTAGCAATTTAGAGTTTAAAAGAGTTAAGGGTATGAAAATGTATGCGTTGTAATGATACCAAATGTCCTTTTGTAAAGATTGGTCTATTTTGGCTAGAATTTTAGCTATTTTATAGCCAGAAGGGTTGCTATATATCATTAAAGTGTGGTTCCTTCATTTTATAGGTAATAAAACCAAGGCTCAGGAGATAAAGTGGGTAACAGGAGGTCCATGCAGCCAAGCTGAAGTTACAGTCTAAGACTCCTACTTTTCAGTTCAGGGTTCTTCCACGACATCATCTTCCCGTGTTGTGCCTGTGCCTATACAACAATAACAACAACATAAAAGAGCAGATAAGTCCAAAGTGAAACAACAACAGTAAAAGCAACAAAACAACAAAACCACACTCTAGTCTGCTTGTTTACATATGGGCTGACAGAGTTTTTCCAAATATGCTCTTACTGTTCTCTCTGACAGTGACTTAAAGATTTCCAAGCTGATGAAAAGGAAGTTGCTGGCTAGCATAAGGCTTTGGTATACCATTTTAAACTCAGATGATCAGAGTTTACTATAGACAGAAAATTTAAATAGTTTTGAAAATATAAAGAAAAAAATGAGAAATAAGATGGATGCAAGGCTGAAGAGCAGTTAAATGATTTTTTAACTGCTAAAGTTCACTTTACTTATTTCCTTAAATAAGCTTTTCCTCTATAAGGTCTAAACAAGTTGTATTGGTCTATTTTTTCCACATTTACCAAGCCAAACTGCCATTTTCTGGCAAATGACCTTTGAACAGCAAAGTCTTTTTCTTTTTTTTTCTTTTTTTTTGGTACCGGGGATCGAACTCAGGTCCTTGTGCTTGAGTAGCAGGCAGTGAAACCACTGAGCTAAATCCCTGGCCCCAAAAGTCCTTTTCTTAAAGATCCATAACTGCACAAACAAAGCATCATCACACTCAGGAGTTCACATCTCTCATCCTATCTTCCTCATGTGAATCTGTAGGGCTGTTTGAAAAGAAATCATGCCACAAATCAGGATATCAGATCTATTTCTGATGGACCAGTGATTTAGCTCAGTGGTTCTGGCACCTGCCTCACAGATATATTTCTGAGCTCATTGCAAGCCTGTTGTAGCTTTGTAGGCCCAGTCACAGGCAGAAAAAATGAAAGAATACAACTGCCAGTGCGAGTATAAGGCTGATATACAAGGAAGTTTTCTGTGCATTAGGATGGATTCAAACTGAGCCCAGTATACAAAGACAAAATTTACTGGATCATAGTAATAAGGATATACATAGAAGAAACACAATAATCACCTAATATGAGCTCTGTGTTGGTGTGTTTCTGATTTCCTTCAACAATCTCAAGCTTAGCTTGGGTTAGGAAGACTTTAGCCTTCTACTATTTTCATCAGTTTTTTCAAAGCCAATTCAGACTGTAGTAGTAGTAACAATGATAGCAAATAAAAAGAAAAATGGCCAAATTATACATATAAAATCCCAAGCCTTTTAGTATCACTGTTTAATTCATCAAAAGAAAAATTTGCAAATATTATAATTTATAACTAGAATAGTTAGTAATTTTTTGCAGGAGGGATAAAAGATATCCTAGGTTCCATTTCCATGAAGGTTTGTTAAATGTCTCATTTACATAAACTTGGTTCATTTCATTAATCACCACTTATTTTTGTTTAGTTCTTTAGTGATCAGTTCTTCAAAACAGATGCTATGAATTTTGTGACTGGAGCTTTCACACAAAACTTTTCCTGACTTGCTCCAATCAGCTTGTCCTTCCTAATTCCTTCCTGAATGGAAATTTTGGAGCAACCTCTGGTTCTCATATAAACCCATGTGTCTGTTCTTCCTGCAGATCCTCCCACTATTACGGAGTCCAAGAGCAATGAAGCCACCACAGGGCGACAAGCTTCACTCAAATGTGAGGCCTCGGCAGTGCCTGCACCTGACTTTGAGTGGTACCGGGATGACACCAGGTATGTGGCCAACTTACCATGTGTTCCTCTTGAAGGGACCTGAAACCCAAAGCCAAAGCCAAGTTATAGCTATGCAGAACTATACTATTCAGATCTTCTTTCTTAATATATGTATCAGGTGCTTTGGAGCTTGTAACTCTTAAGTTGAATTCCAAAAACACTGAAGTTAAATATAAAAAATGAAGTACATGATTTGATGTGTAGTTTTCACCTGTATATCTTCCTTACGTATAGTAGAAACTCAAGCCCAATGGAACCCATCCATTCCTGATGAGTTCCTTGTGTCTATTGGTAGTCACTGGTTCTGATAATAAGAATTGTATAATTAAAATGGGAAGTGAGCAGAAACTAGTCAACTCTATTTGTTTCCTCTCTTTTTCTTCCAGTGTAAAGATAGGGAAGGAATTCCTAAGTTAAAACTACTATCATTGCTCCTTTTAACTCTTCTGTTTTTGAACTCTTAGGATAAACAGTGCTAATGGCCTTGAGATAAAGAGCACCGAGGGGCAGTCCTCCCTGACGGTGACCAATGTCACTGAGGAGCACTATGGCAACTATACTTGCGTGGCTGCCAACAAGCTGGGGGTCACCAATGCCAGCCTAGTCCTTTTCAGTAAGTATGCCAAAGCAGGGCCTAACTTGGCATAATTAAAATAATTGCATTCTTTCCTGGAAACTTGATAATCTCTCCCTTATATATTACAGGTAAATTTGTACAAAAATAAAAATATACTCACTGAGATCAAAGCACAGGTTTCTCAATTCCTGTGCACAAGAGAATCTTACAAATTGAATAACTTCTCTTTGTACTCTCTTTTTTTTAAATTTGTTTTTCTTAGTTTTGTTTTTTCCTGGTGGGTTAAACTGAAAAAATATTCAAGGAACATGTATCTCTTTGATGGTAGCCTCTTTAAGAAGCAGAGGGGAGCTAAGACCTTGGAAATGGATGATTGTTAAAAATCATAGGGCCAGAGATTTAGGTCAGTGGTTTTGTCACCTGCCTGGCAAGTGCAATGACCTGAGTTCGATCCCGGGTACAAAAAAAACCAAATTATCAATAATGGGTGTGATTAAGGAAGAAATACTCTGTGTGAATAGATAAGGTTCTGGGGAGAAAGAGCATGCTAGAAAAGGAAAGTGTGTATATACAACACAAGAGGAAGGATGGGATGAATGATTAAAACATAATATAAAAATCTAAAAATCTAAAGGGTGAAAATAAGGTTGCATAAAGGTTTCCATATGACAGCAGGAAACATTACTCTGATTGTTTTTTTTTTTTGCAACAGAGATGGAATAGTAAGAAAGGGAGCGTTTCTGAAAATCTGAGAAGATTCTGAAAGTTGACTAAGAAGGGTTCAGTGATTTGAAAGTTACTAATGTTGGGAGGAGTCACCACCTTGGCATCCCTCTCTTTGGCAGCTCTTTGGCATCAGAACTCTTACTCCCCAGCCTTGATGGTCAGGAAACTATGGCATAAGAAGTAAAAAACCCCGCAGAGACAGAGGATGAGTCGGATCATGAGAAAATGACAATGTTTGTGTTATGGCTTGTTCCCCCAAAGCCTCATGCAGTCACAGGTGGGGCTTTTCCTGGCAACAATTCATGGTGCAATGATAGGCCCAAGGGCACTAGGATTGAGGGTGTGAGTGCTACCTGCCCTAACTAATCTGCAGAAGAGAAAAGGGGCCGAAAGACTGTGATAGGAAGTATAAAAGTTGTATTCCTGCTTGCTTGTCTCCAAAGACCAAGCATCATTATTTTTTTGCTTCAGCTGGAGACATCAATGTACACAAGACTCTTGGGAGGATTTGTATTAAGAAATGTAGTTACCTGATTCACTCTCAGTGTCAGAGATTCCGAAACTTAGGGGCAAAAACAATCCTCACCTACAAATTCAAAGTTCTATCAAATCTAAGATGACCTGGTTAGGTGGAAAGGATTCACTTAACAAGAAGGCTTTTTGGGGACATTAGAAAAAAGAAAATGGAACAATTGGACTAGAAAAATTGAGCAATTATACCTCTGAGTTAAAATGTGTTTTCTTCCATGGAGAATAAGTATATTAATAATATGTTTCACATAATAAATAAAATGTTGCCTCTACACTGAGAGAAAGGAAGAGGAAGGAGGGTTAAAGGATGGAATACTTAGGGGAGAGAGAGCAAGAGCACATGCAATAGCATAGCTGGGGGTGGGGGACAGAGGGGCCAGTCCCTCCTGGACAGCACATTTTTTGAGCAACATTATTGGCCAAAAGATAAATTATATGAAAATAATTTATGGTTCTTTTGAACCATATTTGATATTAAGCTAAGGTTTCTTATGTGCATCTGAATGCAGCAGCATCTCTAGCCTCATGACAGCTTACACATGAATTTTACTAAGTGGTTTCCAGTAGCATCTAGACCATTTCATTGAAGGACTGCCCTGGAGCAGCATGAACTTTCACTATGCCTCTGAGCACAGGGCTGGGTCAAAGATAATGGAGATACTTCTAGAAGTTGAGAAAAGTAATCTCCAGCACTGTAATGTCATTGCCTGCCACAGAAATCTGTTGAAAGGTCTTAAACCAGTAAAATTAAGTAATCTCAAGAATCTTACAAAATTTCTGTTAGTACACTGAGAATTAGAAAATCAGGATAATGTATCATAATCATACTTCCCTTGAGGATTTGGGAGAAGTCACCCTGAATGAAGTATGGAGAAATACATGGTGTAGGAATCAGTGACAAGCTACTTCCATGTGAGCTCACACTGCCCTTTACCCAGCTGTCCACATGGGCACCAGATCTGCATTTAGCAGCATATGCAAAGGCAACATACACATCAGCATTTGGCTTGGACTTGATTTCTCACTTTATGGAAAAATAAAGATGTATTATGCTTGCTGAAGAATACAATATGGAAAGGTCATTAGGCTTTAAAATGAGAAGAAGCTATCAAAATTGCAGAAAATTAGTGAATCAATGTTTCAGTTTCTTAGAATTAAAACTTAATTTTAGACACTTTAAGGGAGAGCTCTGCTTATTTTTTAACAAGAATGACAATCCCCCCACCCAGCTTTCCATTGCCATTAGGTTTGGGAAGTTCCTTATTTCAAGCTCTTATAGTTGAAACCTTGAAGATGAGGCTCTATGGTAGCACAATTCACATGAGACAGAAAGAGGTGGGGAGAAAGAGAGAGAGAGAGAGAGAAGGTAGAATGACAGAAGAAAAAGGAAATTACAGTGTGAATGGATTGCCCATTACTTAGGTTCAAAGTAATGGGATTAATGGGAAGATGAAGACTCTATGTAAGGGTTAATGGTGGTGCTTCTCCTCAGGACAATGTCAAGATGGGGCTCAGCAGCCCTGGGAAGCACTGTGTGGGCAGCAGGGTGCTCTGCTGACCCAGCCAGTCCACAGCAGATGAGGCACCTGGAGTGGTACTGTGAGCCAGAGGCTGCAACAGGGAGAGACCCAGAGCCAGAGCCCTGAAGAGTTCACCATGACTCTCCAGGTTGATGTGTCAGCACATTTTCAATCCTGTCCACTGTAGTGACAAGCTGACTGTAGTGTTGATGTGTAATCACATTGTCCTCAGAAATATATATGTCTTTCTCCACTCTCTGTTAAAATATTGATCTCCAAAAGGGTCAATATAATTAAATGAGAATTCAAGAAGTAATTTCTTCCTAAGCTAGTGGAAGCCTATCATTCTCTGCTGTCTTGTTCTTCACACATTCTAGCCCTCTGTCAAGATTAGTCTATATAGTGGTACCTTGGTTCATGAATATAATTTGTTCCATGATTTTGGAAAAGATGGCCAGTTTGTGCTTGTGCTGGAAATATGGCTGTGGTCATGTCTGTCATCCATTGTAGAGTTCACGGACAAAAACAAAATGTTACCAAATACTATTGTTTGAGAACCAAATTATTCACAAACACAAAAAGTGTTCGTGAACTGAGGTACCACTGTATATTGAAGTAATGCTTATTATATATTTTTCTTTATACCTGGGCTGAGTGTTAGTTACTTTACATATTTTTCTGAATGCATGAATCCAATAGGACAAGACAGACAGGCAAGGATTCAGCTTCTTAGTCATGGTCAGACATGAGAATATGCAAGACACAGATGAAGACTGTATTCTGGTGCTGCTAAGAGAAGTTCCATTGTCTGCATCTGTAACAATAAATTCCATGTTTTCACACTGACGAACAATTGTACCTAGAAAATTGATGACAGGTTTATCTATTTCAGTGCTTATGATGAGTTAGTTTTAATGCAATGGATAAACAGGAGGAATAGTGCTCTGCCGAAAGACTAAACAAAATGCTTCACAGACATGAGCTCATTCAGTCGCCATGACAAGCTTACTATGTACCATTTCACCGATGTGCAGAATTCATATAATGAGTGCAACTTGAAGAAAGACTAAACTTGTGATTTAAATTTGAGTAGTCTGTTTCCAGAATCCATTTTCAAAACCAATGCATTATTTATTTATAAATGTAAACAAAAATGTTAGAAGATATGTCTTGTACTTTGGAGGTCATCTCTTCACTTATAAGACCTTGCTCCTGGCCTCATACTGCTGTATTTCTTCACATACAAGACCACAGCTTCTTCTACTTCCCAGTTCCAATCCTATTAACTCCCATCAGCTGGGTCCACTACATTATTATTACACTATTGGTTTGTCTTTGGTATTTGAGATTCTCAACTAACATTCCAGCCTAGTGGCTTGGAGTGGAGGGAATATTCCCACATATTAAAAGATAGTCCTGTTGATAAGTTCCCCTGTGCTTTAAAAAATCTGTGGATTAGTGAGATATTTTGAAGGTATTGGGTACAAAAGAATAAAAATACAAAGAAATTGATATGTCATACCAGTGTGTAGGAGGTATTTTTCATTTTTATTTTTAATTTTAAAAGATCATTGAGTTGTGAACATATAATTGACTGAATTTTAAATACTACCTAAGTAACAGGGCGCTATAGTCAGTCTTTACAGCGAGAGGCTCCCCTTTACTTTAGAAGCCATTCTTCATTATTATTTTAAGGGCTTGGCATTAAACACACACACCACTCTATGATGCTCGTTAAGACTTGGGAGACTTCTTAGCCAATTCTTATAGAGGCCACATAATAAAACAATTTGAACACTAACCTCATGTAGTTTGGAAGATTTGCTGCAAACTCCTTTAAAGTGCTTTTTGTGGCTAAGAAAGGAAAAGAGTGGACACTTGGAAACTTTTCATTTCAAGCATAGGCATCAATAGGTTGACATCCAGAAAGAACATTGAAGCATTGTAATATGCTTTGGAAAATAAAAGAAAACCAAATCTGAGCTCATAAATGACCTCCTTACAAATGCTCCACCTTTGACTCCATTTTTTATCATTTAGGTGCCTTTGATTCACTGTGTTTCCTTGTGAATTGTAAATATCCATTTAGTTGTTTCTCATGCTGTCCAGCAGAATCAGTTAATAACATTTCCCTCACACAACTATCACACATTTATCCCATTAAAAAAACTTCAAAGTTAAAATACTTGTTGAAAGCCACAGGCTACACAGGGCCAACCATGGAGTTTTGTTGCCATAACCTCTCAATCTCTGCTGAGCTATGTTGACCTCAAGTGTTCGATAGAAGAAGTGTGTAACACCAAGGTTTCCTGCCTTTGTCTACTTTTGGAAATTTTCCTTTTCATTTTAAATAGTATTTACCTCACTTTACATTCTTACCAAAAAACCCATAAATCCTGGCATAAACTATGAAACAGCAGCAGAAAAATTGTGGATGAATAAAGGATAAAAATCTGGATTGAGAAAGCATCTAGGGGGAGATAAGTCAAAAGGATAGAATTAAAAGAATGAAACTAAGTAATGAGGCATGATAACCCTAAAATGATGATATCAGGGTGGAGCTAAGAGGTTAATTACAAGCTGGGAAGGAGTTGGAAAGACAATAAAAGGAGAGTGGGTGAGATGAAGTGGCAATATGATCAGTTTTCTGGGGACAAGGGCAGAGTGCATCTACCCAGCTGTGAACAGTGTGATGAGAAAATATTAAGCTGAGTCATTTAAACAGTCTGAATAATACTAGTAATAATAAAAATAAAATACAGTAGAAAGAGTATAATACGGGACAATAATCGCCAACTGCTACATAAATGCTGAAAGCAGTTTAGCTATTTATTTTCAAAGCTGGAAACGTTACCAAATAACCAGTGAAGATTTAAACCATTTTTCTACTTGACATTTGTGTAACTAAGACACAATTGTTCACTGAGCTGTTATTGACCTGCTCCATCTTAATGGACTTTGGAAACTTTCACATTTAAGCTACAACTAGAGAGCTCACTCTGCCAAGAGACTGGGTTTCTGTGTCCAGATGTATTGGAAGCCTGAAGACCAGGTAAATTCTACTGTTTCTAATCTTATATATAAGATGACAGGTAGATCAAGACTGAATATGTGCATATGCATACCTCTTTATGGTTTTGATTTCTGTTGATTTTTATTTCTTATTAGTCATTACTTAAAAAAAAAACTTCTAGGAGGAAAGTAGAAATATATGCTAATTATATTGCCTTATTGTGTTCAGGAGTAGCAAATAGTGCGTTCTTCCCCTAGTGCACCATTCTACCTTATGGAAAGAGCACTAGAGGAGGATAGGTTATTTAGAGTTCAAACTAGGTTTTAATTATATATATATATACATATATATATGTATATATATATATATATATATATATGAAATTCTGAATATCTTAGCAGCTCACTTTATTGAGTTAGTAGTTCAGGTATGGGAATATGAGAAACTCATAAGCTTAAGACCTAGTGTTCAAAAGAAAAGTACTTCTTACTACTCAGTGGGATGATTCATCAAGCAGGCTTGATTAGTTGATCAAATTTCAGATGAAACTATATTATAACAAGAAGGTAGGATTAAGAAATAGACTACAAATAAAATCACATCATTTCAAGAAACATTTAACTTGGGCATTACTTTTTCACTGGCATCACTAATATGCAAGTAAAACCCTGAGAGAAAAGTTGAATTAGTATTTCCCAAAATAAATTTTCCAGATGCTTGGCTAATGCTGATATTGTCTGTGGGGCTAAGGGAGACAAAAGAAATCTGTAGCAAGGATAGGTCCATCTGTCATGACCTAAACAGGTGAAAACCAGACCAAGGTAGATCACCTGGATTTATTTGACCAAGTCTATAAGCACCCTGTATTTCAGCTCTCTAAAAGATCTACAATCTTGGTAGTGACTGTTTCCAGTACAGAGTAGGATCCTTCCTATAGGTTTATCACAATTTGATGTTCTGGCTTTGTATTTTTAATTTTATTAATAACTCTCTTTTATATTTGAATGTTAACAAGAACAGATAAGTACTTTATAGGGAATATGATCCTATAGGCATGGAAATTTCATCTGTTTTATAATTGTTTGAGTAGCTAAACATGAGAAAGATATATATTTAAACTTTCCATGATGTTTACTATTTTTTCCCCTTTAGAGCGTGTTTTACCCACAATCCCCCACCCCATTCAAGGTCAGTATGATTTTTATCACTGTAGCTGTATTGATGGGTCATTCTCCAACATATGTAATGTCCAAAACACACACAGGAGGAAAACACATCCACATCGCTCACATACAAAATAATTTTTTCCTTGGACATTCAAAAGAGAGTTCATCCATTGACCGCACCATTTGATAAGCATAACAGGTAGGTCAAAACTTGCCCTAATTTCAAGTCATTCCATAGCTGGGAAGATAATGCTAAACTGAGAGAACAATTTTTTCTTCAATCAGTATTTATTATGGGTAACAATGAATTTATATATTTGGAACACAGCCATTTAAGTTCCCTCACTCTATAGCCCACAAAAATATAAATCCTCCCACTAACTATCTTTACACTTGGAGATTTTTACTATATGAATTTGAAGTCATTGATATTACTTGTAAATATGAATTTATATACTACCAAGGGTTAAACTCTATCAAATTATACAGATACTATGTTTCTTTAAACTACTGATCAACTCCTGTGTTTTCTCTATTAAACTTTACTACTTTAGAAAATACAAATAAAAAAACCAAAGTAATCATTCTGTTTCCTTTTTTAAAAAAACTTCTACATACTCAAATTAAATTTTGCCTTCTCCAACACATTTAGATGCAAGTTGCAGCCACAACTTTCTAGCTTAAGGCTATTTAAAGGCAAATTGGCAAATAAAATTAAAATAATACAAAAAATCTGAAATGAAACCAATCTACCATTGAAATTAAATTCCAGAAAAGTGATTTGCAAATAGCACTCAAAGACCTAAGAAAAAATGAAAACTAGGCCATGCGGGGCCTACTGTGGAAAAAATAAATCCAATTAAACAAGATTATCATACACACTATAAAGAAAATGTGCTCAGAATGAAAGGTAGAAAGCTCCTATTTTATAAGTTTGAAGATGGATCATACTTCATTAACACTTGTCCAAACTAAAAATTAGAGCAAAATTGGGTGTAGATATTCAGAGTGTCAATAATGTAATGTTTTGCATATTTATGCATTCATATATATGCAAACTTATTTTAATTACATTTGAAATGAGTATTACAAAGTTTTCAGGATCTATTTTTCAGGATCTATTCTATTAAGACAGCTTAATAAAAGAGTTATTCTTAAATTTTAAGAAAAGTCTAAAATATTAGTATAAATGTTTAGAACTCTGTTGAATAAAAAAGAAATTCTCTGACAACATTAATGGAAGCTGTTTCTTATTCCAACCACTAAAAATAAAGCTGTTAAAAATGTGCCTGTTTTTTCAACTTGACACAAAACTAGTGTTCATGGAAAATAGCTCTGCTTGAATTCCTGACATACCACAATTACTTTAAGACATTTATTTTTTAATGTTGCTGGAGAGATTGGCATCATTTTATCATGTTGCCATCTTGCAAATATCTTGATATAGAAAACACACACATACACATTTGTTCCAGGGGATAAAATTTTCAAAGAGGTCATGGCTCATCCAAGATGAGCTCTGTACAGTGTCACAGTGACTCTAGGTAGTCTTTTAAGAGGGTCTCTGTAGCCACAAACTCAAATATTTATCTGATCATACATTATGATATATGTAACACTGAACACAGTGAAACCAGACACTATTCACAAAGGACAGCTGTCAGACATTGAAAAACCGTCATGTCTAGGAATGGAGCATGGGGAGCATTTTGTTGAATTTTATATTTTCCATAAATTGAATTGTTGATTGGAGAATGACCTAGTTAGATTTTATGTTGTAGGTAGACTGTAGTTAGCTTTCTTAGATTTGATAGTTTTTAGACACTTTAGTTTACCTTACTACTAATATTTTGGGCTTCTGCTAGTGAACATTGAAAAGCTGTTCACTGAGACTTGGGATTGCTGATGTGAGAGGCTGCTATAGAAAAACAGTCCCAGACTGGGCATGTACCTCAATGACAAAGCACATGCCTAGTGTCCGTGAGACCCTGGGTTTAATCCCCAGGGTGGGGGAAAAGGGGAAGTCCTCTCTTACATTTCTTGTTTATTACAAGGATTCTAACTTTGTAGAGACCTAATCACTTTTCTAGAGGAGGAAACTTTTCAATCAAGAGGGTAACCCATGTGAAATGCAGATTCCTATGGAAAGAATAGCAAATAGTAGAATGCTTAATTCTTTTGAATGCTAATTTACTACTCAAATATCTATGAAAAGAATGTGGTCATGACTATAGTGCAAGAGTCATTTAATTAAATAGCCTACATTGTCATCAAATGTATATAGAATCCTAAACTTCATCCCCAAAGTGTTAACATATCCCAAAGCAGCTGTTTGATACAAATGGCCTGAAAAATTTTGAAACAACCAGTTTCCTTAAGGTGTTTTGAAAATGGAATGTCATGAAGAACCTTTTCTGTCCACCTGCAATCAAAAAGAGAAATTTCTCTCCTGATTTCCAGCCTAACAGAAATATGTATTTCCTGTCAGCTGCTCCACTGTTCACATACTCAGTGAAGGGGTGGAGAGTTGTCCCTCCTGCCCCCACTCTTGGTGACTCATCGGGCTGACTGGGGCTGCACTGAAGAGTCACAGCAGGAATTTCATCCTAAACCCCTTCAAGCTGTGATTAAACAAAAACAAGGCTCAATAAATTAAATAAATTTCTCTTGGGTTTCCTTCATCATATTGCTTGATTTTCTGCAGTGATAATAATAATACTACTGGAATTACACCAAAAGGTAATGTGTACTGGCTGTGGCCAATTAGAAATTTTCAAATGTCCTTTCCCCCTGTGCCCCAAACAAAACAAGCCAAAACAGTGAGTGCACTTCCCTGCTTCTCAATTTAAAAGATACACACACACAAAATAAGTAAAATAAGTAGTCTTCCATCCTTGATCTGTTTCTGATAGGTGTCTTTTCCCATTAATTTTAATTTAGGTTTATTTATTCTGAAATGAGTCCTGAGTTGCATATATTTGCATAAATACCTCTGACTATAATGCTGCAGAAAATCTACTGAATTGTAAAATGAGGAAAGAGTCACCTCTTAGTGTCTGAGGGAACTTTTCTTGCTTTGTTTGGCTCCAATTTCCTGGGGCTCTGAATACTAGACAACAGTAACATTTCTTCCCATCAGTGTGTGCATAGTCCTTCTTCATGATGGAAGTGCACCTAGGGGACTCTCATGGAGAAGGACCATAGGTTCAGTCTGAGGAGAGGAAGCCAACCTTAGGGAGTTAAAATCAGTGAAAGAAAGGAAAAGGACAAGGACAAACCACCGTTGTTTTGTGTACACAGCTTTCAAGCAAAAAATTCCCCTGAGCTTACAGCTCTCTACGCTCCATCAGCCCATCTTTCCCTGATCACTGACTCAAAAAAAAAAAAAAAAAAAAAAAAGAAGAAGAAGAAGAAAGAAAAGAGAAAAGAAAAAAATTCTAGAAAGTATCTCACTTGTTTGCCTCCCATCTGATTATTTATCCCAAGTGAACAGCCTTTCCAATCACTAACCCTGTGTGACGAGTGGGTCTGGGGAATGAGATTATCTTCCAGGTTCAGGCACTGCACTGGGTTTGTTCACAGCTGCTTACCATTCAGTCCGTTTTTCCATTGATAAAACACATTGCACATGGCTGGGTTTGCATGATTAATACAACTGTCTAAAGCTCTCTCTCTGAAAACAAAACCCTCCAAAATTAAAGTTATTTTTCTAAAAGTCTAACTCACAAACAAACCAGGCTTTCGTAAATCTGAAGTCAGTCTGGTGTATTTCCTTCCAAAGGATGACCAGTGTCCTTGTGGGCAGGCTCAGCATTAAAACAGTCAGACCAGGAGAGGGTCTCACCCTACCCTGCACATCCAAGGATGGGCTCTGAAATGAGAATCCAAAGTGATGGAAGGAAGAATGGGGAGAAATCCCTAGACCCAGCCCATGCCATAATGATCATTGAACAATCTCGATAGTTTCACTTATTTTTTATAGGATACCAGCCTGAGAATCAATGAGAAAAAGTCTCTCCTTAGCTCCTTAGCATAACAGTAGCGTTGATTTGTCCAACAATGGTAATATCAATAAACAATAATAATAACAACAGATAGGGGGCTTCTCATACACCACTAAAGGCCTATAGTCTTTTGCATATATTAATTGAATTAATCCATATAACCCTAAGAAAATAATATGCACTTTTCCACACAATTTTTAATGAGCAAAGTATACCCAAATTTCAACTCCCCACTTAATACATCCAGGCATGTATATAAATCTATAGTACATTATAAATAACCATTATGTATGCTTTTATAATATAATATAGATATGCATTTGTCTCATGAATTTTAAAGGCACCAAATTTATTTTACATATTGATACTTATAATACGTAATAGTTACCTTAATATCTAAACATTTTTATAAAATTCATTTTCAGATATGCTCAAAACACAGAGAGATGTATGTGCAACTCACATAGAGATTTATATGAAAGCGTTCATCTTTTGAAAACATGAGCAGCACTATCTGGCATTGGCACATCTAATTTCACACACTTTTTCAGACTGATTTACATACATACCACTATTAATCACAGATAATTACTAGCATTGTTCTCTGTAATTCAGTTTTTCCAACTGTGAAATGGGAAAGAAATTACATTTTTCATGCTTACAAGCTCAAAGTCATATTTTAAATAATATACAAAGAGAGCTTCAAATTTCTAGTAAGAAAGCATATTGGATTGAAAATAATTATATTCAGACCCATATATTTCCTTTTATTTTTTAAAGTACTATATGTAGAGGTATACCTGTGTCATATTGCATGGACATTAGCTAGAAGTTATTTTAGGATGCTTCATCCTGTGTGATGTATTATGGATTCTGAGGATGTCTGAAATGTCACACTGCTAAGAAGTTTTAAAGTGGAAGCATCTTAAGACCAAATTAAAAGATTTTTTTCCAACTGGGCAGGTGGCACATGCTTGTAATCCTAGTACTCAGGAGGCTAAGGTAGAGGGATTGCATG